TCATAACGATGTCGGTGTTGAAACAATTTGCAATGAAAAGAGTTTATCGCGTCCCGTCTCGCTTTCAAGCTTTCGTGACTGCAGGAATTTATATTCTTTGGGTCTTTCAGTAAAAAACACAATAGAAAGGTTAAAAGAAAATGTAGGTTTTTCTTTTCTCCTGATGACGACCGCTTGTGTTGTGATCGAAACGTCGTAGTTTTTTTTGTTATTTTCTTTGAACCTATCTACGTGACATTTCCGAAAGATCCAAAGATTAGGAGCCCCTTCTCCACCGCCCCCCCCATCCCCCGCCCCTCCCCTCCGCCTCCACCAGTTAATTAATAACTAACATGGAACGTTGGATCGTAACCCGTCACCTATTTATGAATGGTGCGGGGCTGGGTCGGAGTTTATGGTCACACGACCGCCCTTGACGCACCGCACGCAGGAGCAGCAACACTCGGGACTCAATTTCAGGAGGGTCCTGCCGCTACGTTGGGGGGCATGGTGGCTAGGAGATGTTAACTACCTCGCCTGGTATACAGGAGGCCGTGGGTTCGATCCCGACCCTGACGCCTGCTGTATTATTTGGAGTTTGCGTGTCTCTCTCTCTCTCATTATCATCACGGTGGCTAGGAGATGTTAACTACCTCGCCTGGTCTGCAGGAGGTCGTGGGTTCGATCCCGACCCTGACGCCTGCTGCTGTATATTTGGAGTTTGCGTGCCTCTCTCTCATCATCATCACGGTGGCTAGGAGATGTTAACAACCTCGCCTGGTATACAGGAGGTCGTGGGTTCGATCCCGACCCTGACGCCTGCTGTATTATTTAGAGTTTGCGTGTCTCTCTCTCTAGCCGTGGATTTTCTCGGGGTCCTCCGGTTTCTCCCTCCACGTTGAGAATCAACGTGGCGCGTGTTTTAAAGTATTTTGCTGCTAAACATTTCCACGAAACGATGATAAGCCCACTTCGTTGAGCGATAATTTTCAATAGCCAGGGTCGTTCAGCGGGCCCTTACCTCGTCGAATATGAAACAAAACAGATGTTTAGTAAATTTCGTTACTGCAGGGATTCATGTTCTTGGTTCTTTCGGTAAAGTCACGTAGAAGGGAAATAATAAAGTAATAAAAATAAAGCAATAAAATTCTCACGACGGTTTATTTTTTATTATTTTATTATCTCCCTTCTAGGTGACTTTATCGAAAGAACCAAGAACACATGTTTAGTAGTCAATCATGGCATTGACCTCGGATGCAGCAATTCAAAGTTCAGCAGCGATTGTATCCCGCTGCGATGAACAGCGATCACAGCCACTGCTTCTCAACTCCTCTGTAGCTCAGTGAGCCTCACCTGGTAAAACAAAAAACAAGTATATAAAGCGATAATAGTTTTTTTACCCTTCTATCTGGCAACAAAACTGACACCTTTTTTTACAAGGAGTCATGTTTGCATAGACCACAATACCTGCAATCATAATGCAAACAAAAAACATAACTCTGATAATGTGCACTGTCCTTGAAATTGATTGGTCCACACCCGAGACAGCTTTCCTTAGAGGCCAGACGACGCCAAAAGGCGCACAACTCAAAGACAATGTGCGCCTTTTGGCGTCACCTTGTCTCTGCCAGATAGAAGGGTAAAAAGAACAATTTAGATATTTTTTACTGGCAAATGAGGTTCCAATGGAAGTATATAAAGCTTAATAAGTTTAGTTCACATTTGGTTATTTGACCGTGAACGACATCGATTTCGTATCCTCATGAACCTCCACCCCACCCCCAAACACCTTGAAGACCGCCACTTAGAAATGGGCATCAATCAGTGACTTTTTTTCACGTCGCTGCTGCAAGGAATTTAAACACGCCCTCCGCATTCCGCGAGAACTAAATGCATCTTTTGCCGCAGGAGGTGTTCGCTCTCGCCGTTTCCCGGCTCTCACAACGGGTTTTTTCAGTTCAACACGCAAGTCGGCTTTCGCGACCGATATTATTCGCGGTGAAGGTATTTTTTGGGGTCAGATCTTCGTAACCCTCCACCACCCGACGCAGCCAATTAGTAAGGGATCTGCCACGTCAACAACGACGCCAATGGGTTTACTAATCCAGCCCACCGGTGTGTTGGCGAGTAACCCCACAACATTTACAATTTGAGTAGTACGACGTTTCGCTGGTAATTACATCCGGTAAAGTCACGTAGGTAAAAAATTAAAATTAATAAAATTAAAATAAAGGCTCAGTCCCATTTACACGCACCTTTACATCATCAGCACGTAGTTTACACAACAAAGGCTCATTCCTAACAGCGTGCTTCAGCCGCACCGAACCTCACAAAAATAATATTCAGGGCCTACCTTGCCTCCTCCCACCCTCAACCAGTATATATACAAGGACTGTGTTCTTGGAATTTCTCTCACTTGATACAGCTATCGTGCTGTGACGGTTCCACCTGAAGACGGAAGCTTGTGTTGCCTCCGAAACGTCGTGATTTTTATTTTTATTTTACTTTTATTAATTTTGATTTTCTACCTACGTGACTTTACCGAAAAAAACCTAAGAATTTGAATCCTTGCAGTCACGAAAGCTTCAAATCTAGAATTACATCCGGCATCATCGGGCGAATTGCCAGAATGTTTTATTTGTTTGTCAGGCCGTGAACCAGATGTCCGCGGGGTGTGCGCGACTGCTTTAAAGATCGTTTCGAGTCCCTTTCAAAAGGAAAAGGCTCTAGAGAATGTTGTCGCCGAGGCAAGGAGCATTCGTGGCCGGTGAAGGGTGACACAGGAGTTCGCGGCGTCGCGTGGCGTGGCGTGGCGGAAACAGAATTTTGATTCATCACTCGAGAAATCCGATGAGCTGTGAAACTCGTCGTTTCTTTTCTTTTTAAATCCTTTATATTAAGTTCGCTTGCTTGCTTGCGTGCTTGCTTGCTTAGGACCGTGCAAATCTTTCGGTCGTTTTTTAACCCACTTCCCGTGATCCAATCTAGCTGACATTTTGCACACAGACTCGTTGTGCGTGACAATTAATGTTCGTAAAAAAATTTTTTCCAAAATTTTACACTTTTTAGGACAAAAATATTATATTTAATTACCCATTGCTTAATGCTGCCATGCAATCATCTGACCCATAGGTGGCAGCCATCTCAAGCCAGAGGACGAGAGGACTCTAGCCGCCACGCATATAAAGGATTTATAGTGAAAAACTTAGTTTTTACGGGTTTACTTGTTTCCACACATGTCCAGCAAGGTGCACGTGGGGTCTGAAAGTTACAACAGCAAACAATCATAAATAAAACACACAATGATAAGAGTGCAAACGTTGAATGAAGGTAAACAAATAACTTAAGCTAAAAACGTACTAACTGCGATGGGGAGCGGTGGCGCAGCGGTTAGCGCGCTAAGCTACGAATCCGGCCATCCGAGTTCGGTTCCCGCTCATGAGCACCAACACCGATGTCTGAACTGGTCACGTGCCTACCCAAGCGACCTGGCCACAAATTAAAGCACAACGCGAAGTGGCTGATCATCATTTTGGGGACATTTATAGCAGCCGAATACTCTAAACGTGTGATGTTGATTTTAAATGTGGAGGGAAAAACTGGAGGACCTGGAGAAATATCCATGCGACCACGGGGAGAGAGAGAGAGACACGCAAACTCCAAATATACAGCAGCAGGCGTCAGGCTCGAGATCGAACCCACGACCTCCCGCACACCAGGCGAAGTAGTTAAAATCTCCTAGCCACCGTGATGATGATGAGAGAGAGAGAGACACGCAAACTCCAAATATACAGCAGGCGTTAAGGTCGGGATCGAACCCACGACCTCCTGTATACCAGGCGAGGTAGTTAACATCTCCTAGCCACCGTGATGATGATGAGAGAGAGAGAGACACGCAAACTCCAAAAATACAGCAGCAGGCGTCAGGCTCGGGATCGAACCCACGACCCCCTGTATACCAGGCGAGGTAGTCAACATCTCCTAGCCATCGGTGGCGAGACGTTGATGTCACAGGGCGCGAATCTTCACCCTGTACGGAATGCAGGCCCTGCCCCTCGAAGTGGAATTGGCTTGCGGAGTTTTGGCTGCGAGTCAGAATTCGCAGCGCAACCGAAGTTTTATATATTTATATAAAAACAAAAACACAACGATACATACTCTTAGGGTTTTTTCGATAAAGTCACGTTAAAAAAACGTAAAGTCACCCACCCACGTGACATTACCGAAAAAAAAAAAACTACGAGTATGAATTCTTGCAGTCACGAAAGCTTCAGATCTGCAACGATACATATCCATTCTAGATTTGAAGCTTTCGTGACTGCAAGGATTCATATTCTTAGGTTCTTTCGGTAAAGTCACGTAGGTAACAAATTTAAATTAATAAAAGCAAAACAAAAATAAAACAAAAATCACTTTGCTTTTATTAAATCCTTTATATTAAGTTCACTTGCTTGCTTGCTTGCGCGCTTACGACCGTGCAAATCTTTCGGTAGTTTTTTAACCCACTTCCCGTGATCCAATCGAGCTGACATTTTGCACACAGACTCGTTGTGCGTGACAATTTATTTTCGTGAAAAAAAATTTCCAAAATTTTCCACTTTTTAGGAAAAAAAAAATTTCATATTTAATTTAAAATATCAATGTGATAAAAATTCAACTCTTACTCAAGAAAAACCGAAATGAATAATAAAATAAAACCGATGCCGCGCATATAAAGGATTTATAGTGAAAAACTTTGTTTTTACGGGTTAATTTTTTATTTTTATTTTTTACCTACGTGACTTTACCGAAAGAACCTAAGAATATGATACATATCCAACATAATACGCATCAAACCTCTGCCAGACGGGTCGTAATCGAACCAACAACCTCTTCCATGGCCGCTCCACGCCGTGACCACGTGGGCCCTACCCCTGTCCCATCGTCGTCCGCTTGCCCTACCGCGCTGTCGCCCCCCCCCCCCACCCCCGTCTCTGTCCGCGTCTTCACGTTGCCCGCCTGTGCCCGTGATGAACCCCCAGGCAGGGCCGCGAGCCGCACCAGCGAGCGAGCGATGGCCATGAGTGGAACGTTGCATCGCATGCTGCTCCTGCTGATGCTGATCATCGGCAGCTTCACGTTCGGATTCATCATGCACGCGTCAAGGCATGCCGCTCGCTCGCAAACTCGCTCACTCACTCGCTCGCTCCGTCACTCACTCATTCACTCGCTCGCTCACTCCGTCACTCACTCGCTCTCTCACTCGCTCGCTCCGTCACTCACTCGCTCACTCCATCACTCGCTCACTCGCTCGCTCACTCCGTCACTCGCTCACTCGCTCGCTCACTCCGTCACTCGCTCACTCACTCGCTCGCTCGCTCACTCCGTCACTCGCTCACTCACTCGCTCGCTCACTCCGTCACTCGCTCACTCACTCGCTCGCTCACTCCGTCACTCACTCACTCGCTCACTCACTCGCTCACTCCGTCACTCATTCATTCACTCGCTCACTCACTCGCTCGCTCACACGGCCACTCATATACCCACCCGCCCCAGTACCGCACTCAACTCACCAACCCACTCACTCAACCGGTAACTCACCCACTCGCACACCGAGTAACTTACCTACTCATTCGCTCACTCACACATCCACTCACTCACCCACTCACTCACTCACTCACCCACACATCCACACACTCACACACCCACTCACTCACTCACCCACACATCCACCCACTCACACATCCACCCACTCACACATCCACCCATCCACTCACTCACCCATCCACTCACTCACCCACCCACTCACACACACACCCACCCACTCACACATCCACCCATCCACTCACTCACCCACCCACTCACTCACCCACACATTCACCCACTCACACACCCACCCACTCACACATTCACCCATCCACTCACTCACCCACCCACTCACACATCCACCCATCCACTCACTCACCCATCCACTCACTCACTCACTCACGTAGCCAGCAAGTCACCCACTCACCCATCCGTGTGGGACGTGTGTCATTGCAGGACTGGGAACTACTACGTGGAGGCTTTAACCATCGCCCTGCAGTCTCCATTTCATACCCCTAGAATCGAATCCAACATTGACGACAGGTAAATGTTCCCATTAACAGGTACATGTGCCCATTAACAGGTGCATGTACCCATTAACAGGTACATGTGCCCATTAACAGGTACATGTGCCCATTGACAGGTACATGTGCCCATTGACAGGTGCATGTGCCCATTGACAGGTACATGTGCCCATTAACAGGTACATGTGCCCATTAACAGGTACATGTGCCCATTGACAGGTACATGTGCCCATTGACAGGTACATGTACCCATTAACAGGTACATGTGCCCATTGACAGGTACATGTGCCCATTAACAGGTACATGTGCCCATTAACAGGTACATGTGCCCATTGACAGGTACATGTGCCCATTAACAGGTACATGTGCCCATTGACAGGTACATGTGCCCATTGACAGGTACATGTGCCCATTGACAGGTACATGTGCCCATTAACTGGTACATGTGCCCATTAACAGGTACATGTGCCCATTAACAGGTACATGTGTCCATTAACAGGTAAATGTGCCCATTAACAGATACATGTGCCCATTAACAGGTACATGTGCCCATTAACAGGTATATGTGCCCATTAACAGGTGTATGTGCCCATTAACAGGTACATATGCCTATTAACAGGTACATGTGCCCATTAACAGGTACATGTGCCCATTAACAGGTACATGTGCCCATTAACAGGTACATGTGCCCATTGACAGGTATATGTGCCCATTAACAGGTATATGTGCCCATTAACAGGTACATGTGCCCATTAACAGGTATATGTGCCCATTGACAGGTACATGTGCCCATTAACAGGTACAGGTGCCCATTAACAGGTACATGTGCCCATTAACAGGTATATGTGCCCATTAACAGGTATATGTGCCCATTAACAGGTACATATGCCCATTGACAGGTACATGTGCCCATTAACAGGTACATGTGTCCATTAACAGGTACATGTGCCCATTAACAGGTACATGTGCCCATTAACAGGTACATATGCCCATTAACAGGTATATGTGCCCATTAACAGGTACATGTGCCCATTAACAGGTACATGTGCCCATTAACAGGTATATGTGCCCATTAACAGGTACATGTGCCCATTAACAGGTACATGTACCCATTAACAGGTATATGTGCCCATTAACAGGTATATGTGCCCATTAACAGGTACATGTGCCCATTGACAGGTATATGTGCCCATTGAAAGGTATATGCCCCCAAAGGTTTGCAGACAAACCTCTGAAAAAAAACCAACCACAAGAGAATAGAAATCCGAGCAGAGACAGCCACGTGGCAGAAGAAATCTAAACAAATCGACAATCTTGATCAGTCGGAAGCTGTTCTTTGAGTTAGGCGTGACGTGGCACTGCACTTGTCACAGGCGTCACAGACGGTGGCTAAGCAGGAACAGCATGTGCTGCGGATTCTATTGTGCATGACTGTCCGCCTGTATTTACATGCTCCCACGTTTCACCTTGCCAAGAAAGAACGAACTCACTCGCCCACTCCCTCGCTCGCTTACCAACTCGCCCAATGACTCACCAACTCACGCAATTACTCACTCACCCACTCACACAATCACTCACTCACCCACTCACGCAATCACTCACCCACTCACGCACTCACCCACTCACGCACTCACCGACTCACTCCCGCACTCATTCACGCACTCACTCATGCACTCACGCACTCACCCACTCCCGCACTCACTCATGCACTCACCCACTCACGCAATTACTCACGCATTCACCCACTCACTCACCCACTCACGCATTCACTCACCCACTCACGCAATCACTCACTCACCCACTCACGCAATCACTCACCCACTCACGCACTCACCCACTTACACACTCACTCACACACTCACGCACTCACTCACCCACTTACGCAATCACTCACCCACTCACACAATCACTCACTCACCCACTCACGCAATCACTCACTCACCCACTCACGCAATCACTCACCCACTCACGCACTCACTCACCCACTCACTCCCGCACTCACTCACGCACTCACCACTCACGCAATTACTCACGCATTCACCCACTCACTCACCCACTCACGCATTCACTCACCCACTCACGCAATCACTCACTCACCCACTCACACAATCACTCACCCACTCACGCACTCACCCACTCGCACACTCACTCACACACGCACTCACTCACCCACTTACGCAATCACTCACCCACTCATGCAATCACTCACCCACTCACTCACCCACTCAAGCAATAACTCACTCACCCACTCACTCACCCACTCACTCACCCACTCACTCACCCACTCACCCACCCACTCGCTCGCTTACTTGCTCATCGAATGACTCGCCCACTCACCCACTCACGCAATCACTCACCCACTCGCTCACTCACCTACCCAAAAACTCACCCACTCGCCCGCCAACTTACTAACTCGCTCAACAATTCACTCGCCCTACAAAGTCGCTCACGAACTAATTTGGTTAGTTTCATCGAAACTCACTCACCAACTCACCCCACACCTACGAACTCAACCAAGTCGATTGCTCTCTCCGTTTTAGGGACCTTCCCGTGAGCGTTCCAGATTCGATGTTCAACGCCAGGTGAGGCTTGCCACCATGAACCCACACGCAGGGTCCGACATGCACGAGGAATTGTACAGGGTGGTTTAAAAAGATGGACCCATATGGGAACCTCATTTGCCAGTAAAAATATGATAATTGGTTTTGTTGCCAGATAGAAGGGTAAAAAACCAATTATCAAGATGGACCCAATTTCAAAGCAGGATATTTCACGATGGCAACATGTTGCAATGACACAAAACGTTACAAACGGTTTAATGAGTTCTCGCGTTTTACCAACCATTTTATAAATGCTCTATGTGCCCTCCACCTGCCGTGCGGACAACATCGAGACGATAGTTGAATTCGTCCCAAACGCCTCTCAAAGTGTCTTCTTACACTGAAGTCACCGCTGCCGTGATTCTGTCTTTGAGGTCATCCAGATTAGTCGCTAATGGTAGCACAAATCCACGGCCTTTGACGTATCCCCACAATAAAAAGTCGCAGGGTGTGATGATGTCTGGGGGTCTTGGGGGCCAAGAGTGTAGCGCCAAGTCTTGGGGTCCCGTGCGACCTATCCAACGTTGAGGCGGTGTGGCTTGCGAATGACTGAGGCCTAGGGGCTGTTTGTGCGCTGGGAAAGGCATCTAGCAGTAATCATTTGAAACTCTATGCCCCGCCCTCTCTATGCCCTGCCCTCTCACGTGGTAAGAGTTTCATTCATGGGCGGTTCGTGGTTGCAGAGATATAGCGATTTCAAATCGGGTCCATTATTTTCAAACACCCTGTATTGTTTTTATACGTTGAACATCTTTTGCACCGTACGTAGCCAACTGTGCTAATGGGAGGTGTGGGGAAAGGACGAGAAACTGTGGGTCTCTATGTGAGTGTATGGGTCTCTGTGTAAGTCTATGGGTCTCTGTGTGAGTCTATGGATCTCTGTGAGTGTATGGGTCTCTGTGTGAGTCTATGGATCTCAATGTGAGTCTATGGGTCTCTGTGTGAGTCTATGGGTCTCTGTGTAAGTCTATGGGTCTCTGTGTGAGTCTATGGATCTCTGTGTGAGTGTATGGGTCTCTGTGTGAGTCTATGGATCTCAATGTGAGTCTATGGGTCTCTGTGTGAGTCTATGGGTCTCTGTGTGAGTCTATGGGTCTCTGTGTGAGTCTATGGGTCTCTGTGTGAGTCTATGGTCTCTGTGTGAGTCTATGGTCTCTGTGTGAGTCTATGGGTCTCTGTGTGAGTCTATGGGTCTCTGTGTGAGTCTATGGGTCTCTGTGTGAGTCTATGGGTCTCTGTGTGAGTCTATGGGTCTCTATGTGAGTCTATGGGTCCCTGTGCGAGTATATGGGCTCCTGTGCGAGTCTATGGGTCTCTGAGTCTATAGTTATCTGCGTGAGTCTATGGGTCTCTGTGTGAGTCTATGGGTCTCTGTGTGAGTCTATGGGTCTCTGAAAACATGAAAATTTACTCACACACACCACACTTACACACAACGTATTGACACACACACCACACTTACACACACACAACACACACACTTACACACACACCGTATTGACACGACACGCGGTCACCCTAACGCCACCAAACGCAGGGCCCGCGAGGACGTGAGGACGGAGGCGCCGTGGGGGGCCCCCATCGTGTGGGACGGAACGTTCCAGCCGGACCACGTGGACCGCCTGTTCGAGAAGAGGAAGACGCGAGTGGCACTCACCGTGTTCGCGCTCGGCCGGTGGGACGCTCGCTCACCCGCCCGCCCCTGTTGTGGTGGTGGTTGTTGTGGTTGTTGTGGTGGTTGTGGTGGTTGTGGTGGTGGTTGTTGTGGTTGTGGTGGTTTTGGTGATGGTTGTTGTGGTGGTTGTGGTGATGGTTGTGGTGATGGTTGTTGTGATTGTTGGTGGTTGTTGTGGTTGTTGTGGTGGTGGTTGTTGTGGTGGTTGTGGTGACGGTTGTTGTGGTTGTTGGTGGTGGTTGTGGTGGTGGTTGTTGTGGTTGTGGTGGTGGTTGTTGGTGATGGTTGTTGTGGTTGTTGTGGTTGTGGTGATGGTTGTTGTGATTGTTGTGGTGGTTGTTGTGGTAGTGGTTGTGGTTGTTGGTGGTTGTTGTGGTGGTTGTGGTGATGGTTGTTGTGGTTGTTGGTGGTGGTTGTTGTGGTGGTGGTTGTTGTGATGGTTGTTGTGGTTGTTGTGGTGGTTGTTGGTGGTTGTTGTGGTGGTTGTTGGTGGTTGTTGTGGTGGTTGTGGTGATGGTTGTTGTGGTTGTGGTGATGATTGTTGTGGTTGGTGGTGGTTGTTGTGGTGGTTTTGATGATGGTTGTTGTGGTGTTGGTGGTTGTGGAATACATCGAAAGCGGTTTACTGAACCTGTGCCGGGCCTCCCCTAGGTCGAGTCGGCCTCAAATAGAGTACAGTGCCTGGTGGCGCTCTAGTGTGTAAACATCGCCACTGGGGAGACAAAGGCGGCCGGCGGGCGTGGTGCTGCTGGCCACAATCCCATAGCACTTGCCCCAGCAGTCAGTGCTGGCTATACACCGTGCCGTGCAGCTTTGTCTTTGGTGGAGGTGGAGGGATGAAGGGGAGGGGTGGTGGAGGGAAGGGGGGTGGAGGGAAGGGGTGGTGGAGGGATGAAGGGGAGGGGTGATGGAGGGGAGCGGTGAATCGATTTGCAAACCGTGGTTTGTGGCCTTCTAAAGAAAACAAAGAATACACAACAGGCGACGTTTCGGGCAACGGGGTCTCCTTCAGAGCGCATAGGCAGCGCAGGCCAGAGAACCGGAGTGGACGACAAGGTGACGAGTGCCGCCAGACGACATCACAGCGCGTGGAGCCATGCCCCTGAGCCCCGAAGCAATCCAACCACCACTCACCGGCATGTGCTCCGTGACCCCCTGACCCCTGACCCCCTGACTCCTGACCCCCTTCCTCCGCTTCCTCCGTGCCCTCCAGGTACCTGCAATCCAACCACCACTCACCGGCACGTGTTCCGTGACCCCCCCTGACCCCTGACCCCCTGACCCCTGACCCCCTTGCCTCCGTGCCCCCCAGGTACCTGGACAAATACCTGGCGAGGTTCCTGACGACGGCGGAGAAGCACTTCATGGTGGGTCACAACGTCACCTACTATGCCTTCGTGGAGAACGCCAGCCGCGTGCCGCACATAGAGCCACTCGCTCCGGGACGCTCACTCGCCATGGTGGAGGTGAGCCGTGGGGGGGGGGGGGGGTGAGTCAGGTGTGGGGGGGGGGGTGAGCCAAGTGTGGGGGGTGGGGTGAGGGTGAGTCAGGCGTGGTGGGGGGGAGCCAGGTGTGGGGGGGAGGGAGTGAGCCAGGTGTAGTGGGGGAGGGTGAGCCAAGTGTGGTGGGGGGGGGGGGTGAGTCAGGCGTGGTGGGGGGTGAGCCAAGTGTGGGGGGTGGGGTGAGGGTGAGTCAGGCGTGGTGGGAGGGTGAGTCAGGCGTGGTGGGGGGGTGAGCCAAGTGTGGGGGGTGGGGTGAGGGTGAGTCAGGCGTGGTGGGGGGGTGAGCCAGGCGTGGTGGGGGGGTGAGCCAAGTGTGGGGGGTGGGGTGAGGGTGAGTCAGGCGTGGTGGGAGGGTGAGTCAGGCGTGGTGGGGGGAGGGGAACCAGGTGTAGTGGGGGGGGGAGACAGGTGTGGTGAGGCGGGGTGAGCCAGGTGTAGTGGGGGGGGGGGCCATGATTAATGTGTAAGAGATTCTCCCAACATTTTTCATGTATGATATATTTTTTCAATAACATTGAAAATTGTAAAACATTTTAAAATTATTAACTTTTACAATTTTATTATTTTTAAACAAATTTGATAACCTCAAATTCCAAGCAACAATTGTCCATCTTTTTTTGCATTGCTCGCAGGTGAAATGAGGTGCCCAGGGTTTGTCTTGATCCCTGACAGGCATGCCGATATATGCCTTGTAGGTTTCACACATCTTAGCAGATGCTTCCACAGAGTACTTTTTCGCTCTTGTCTTGATAAATTGGCCGCAGACATCGCAAAATGCGTCTGCCGGATGCTTGCAGCCTCTTGATGCCATCTCAGAAAAATGCAGATATGTATCCACTTAGGTAGCTGGAACTAAACTGAACTGGTGGGCTTAAGGCCGCTGTATTTATACTACTATTTATATTATTGGAAAGTTCTAGAATGTCCTAGATGTTTACTTAGCACTGAATCTATCAGGAATGTTCTGGAAAATAGGATACATTCCAAAATATCACTGTCCTGGTCACAAAAGCAAAGTTTGGGTGGAATAATAGGCATTTTCTGTACTTTTGAGGCAGAAGCAATTAGGAAATAAAACTTAGTACCCAGGAACAAAGTGTTACACAGTGTAATCACCACGGTGGCTAGATGTTGACTACCTCGCCTGGTATACAGGAGGTCGTGGGTTCGATCAAGACCCTAACAACACCTGCTCTATCTTTTGAGTTTGCGTCTCTCTCTCATCATCATCATCACGGTGGCTAGGATATGTTAACTACCTCGCCTGGTATACAGGAGGTCGTGAGTTCGATCCCGACCCTAACGCCTGCTGCTGCATATTTTAAGTTTGCGTGTCTCTCCCGTGGATTTTTGTCCGGGTCCTCCGGGTTTCCCCCCTCCGCGTTTAGAATCGATGTCACGCGTTTAGCGTGCGTGGCTGCGACGCATCTGCACGTGATGGCGATTGGCCAAATTTTTTGCGCGATCATTTGACGTGGCCACGTGGTCACTTCTGAAACACATAGCAGCTCAGTAGGGCCTTACCCGGCACAAATAAAACAAAGTAAAGTTAAAAGTGTCGATTTAAAGCTTTCGTGACTGCAGGCATTCATCTTCTTGGTTCTTTCGGTAAAGTCACGTGGAAAGGAAATAATAAAATAAAAAAAATAAAACATAATTCTCGCGACGTTTCGGCCACAACGCAAGCAGACCTGTTCCTCACCTGAGGACGGCTGCTTACGTTGTGGCCGAAACGTCGTGAGAATTATTTTATTACGTTTCACTGAGCTACAGAGGAGTTGAGAAGCAGTGGCTGTGATCGCTGTTCATCGCAGCGGTAGACAATCGCTGCTGAACTTTGACTAGCTGCATCCGAGGTCGATGCCATGATTGACTACTCAACACGTGTTCTTGCTTCTTTCGGTAAAGTCACGTAGAAGGGAGATAATAAAATAATAAAAAATAAAGAATTTGATGGCTTTATTTTAGTTATTTTATTATTTCCCTTCTACGTGACTTTTACCGAAAGAACCAAGAAGAACAAAGTAAAGTTTATAGCCGAGTTTATTTTAGAGTTGGGCGGTGCAAGAGCGCCGATGGGTTGGATGTCGCGCGGTCAACCCTGAAGCGGCGATGACGACCTCTGTCGATGATGTTGTCCGATGGCAAATTCCCCGGCACTTACACCGGGCGCGGCTCCGTCGTGGGGCACGGTCACACGCAAGTGGCACGCCAACAAGCCTCTGGCGGTTAGTCAAATGTTGTTTGGTCAGAGCCGGTGAGAGCTCAACAGGGCAGCATGAGGTCTCATTTACGTGAGTGAGGTGCAATTTACGACTCCGATGCAGGTTGCTGTTAGAGGCTCACGCCACGTTTATTTAAGGGCTTACGCCGAGTGGATAAGGCTTATGCCGAACCAGCACCCCCCCCCCCTAGCCAATAACTCCCCCAGGGGACAGGGGACTGGGACCCCTACACCCCGGCTAACTCGCCTCTCCACCCTGCCCTGGGCTGGACTACCCCCAACCTCGGCCGGTCGGGCGGAGTAGCCTCCCCTAGCCTCGTGCGAGGGTCAAGTCCCCGAGAACCCACTCCTACCCCCGACGAACCCCGGTTCCATCCCGGGTCCCCCTTTAAATACCCCCCCCCCCCCCGTGGGGCATGACGTCATCGTCCTCCACGGCCCGCCTGACGTCACGTCCCGCGACGCCACTCTCTCCGAGGGGCGCGCGTGACGTGATGTCACCCACTACGCCTCTACACTTTGATGTGGTAATCATATTTCTCTAACATGGAGGGTGTATCCGCCACACTGCCACCACCTACCCACCACCATCGCCACCACGCGCCCACCACCACCATCGCCACCACCCACCCACCATTGCCACCATTGGCACCACCCTACCACCGCTACAATCACCACCGCTACAATCACCACCACCACCCACCACTGCCATCATCTCCACCACCCACCCACCGCCACCCAACCACCACCCACCACCTACCACTGCCACCATTGGCACCACCCTACCACCGCTACAATCACCACCGCCACCCACCACTGCCACCACCATCCCCTACCCACCCACCACCAGGTGGAGAAGCGGGCCCGCTGGCAGGACATCTCAATGGACCGCATGAAGATGATCGGCGACCTGATCGAGGGCACCGCGTCGCGCTCGCACGACTACATCTTCTGCTTCGACGTCGACCAGCACTTCACGGCGCGCTGGGGCGCCGAGGCGCTGGGTGACACGGTGGCGCTGCTCCAGGCCTGGTACTTCGACCAGCCGCCCGAGGCCTTCACGTACGAGCGGCGGCCCGAGTCGGTGGCCTACATCGCGCCGGGCGCCGGCGACTTCTACTACCACGCGGCGGTGTTCGGCGGACGATGCGCCGCGGTGCTGAACGTGACGCGCGGCATCTACGCGGGCATCACGCGGGACCGCGACGCGGGTGTCGAAGCCCTGTGGCACGACGAGAGCCACCTGAACCGCTACTTTCTGGACCACAGGCCCAGCAAGCTGCTGTCGCCCGAGTACTGCTGGGACCCCAAGATCGGCATGTCGCAGGCCATCCGGCTCGTGCGCCTCGAGTGGGCGCCAAAGGAGTACAACGAGCTGCGCGAGAACGAGGGCTGAGCGGTGGCGGTGGCGGCGGCGGCGGTGCGAACGGTGGGCGGCAGAGGTCGCAAATGGGTTTTGATTCCTTACCCGTACCCGGCCGCACCAGGGTCGCAAACGGGTACCCGTACCCAGCCGTACCCGTACCCTACCCGTACCCGGCCGTACCCATACCCTACTCGTACCCGGCCGGGTACGGGTAGGGTACGGGTATCTGGTACCCGATTGCGACCTCTGGGATGAAGCCATGTTGCAGGCGCGGGTGGATTGATTCTAGGAACTTGAATTGTGAGAAGAGACAAGACGTTGGGAAATGAGTGACAAACGGTTACTCACCAGTGACTCACTGCCTACCCGTACCCGGGTACGGGTAGCCGGGTATCGGGTACGGGTATCGGGTACCCGGTTGCGACTTCTGGTGGGCGGGCGGGGGGGGGGCAGGAGAAGGGGGGGTCTTGAACGGTTGCGTCGAGCGTTGAGTCGTTAGATCTCGGGGTTAAGTCGCTCCTAACCCGCATCCCACAGCGCTATAACCGGGGTTCACTCGCTCCTTACCCAGCCTTCATAGGCGCTCTCTGACAGCCCTTGCACCAGCGGTATGTTGATGCTATACGGTGTGGAGAGGTGGGGGGGGTGAATCTTCGTCTTTGTGTCTCAGCGTGGTTGGGTGGCGTGCGACGTGTTCTACTCAAGCGTATTTATGTGCGCGCGACGTTGTCTATTGATGGAGTTGTGTTTTTCGGTCGAATCTAATGTAATATATTTTTTATGTCCCCTAATTTAAATCTAAACGGTTGCGTTGTTTTGTGATTCGTGGTGGCAGGGATTGGGGCGCAGGCTTCAGAGTGTATTTATTATTTATTTTGTACAGCTTGGGGCTAATTGTCCACGTGGTCTTGATTCGGGGCTACAGCACATGTATTTTTCTACATTTATAAATTTACTGTATGTACATAGTGACGATTAAAGATATATAAATATGACGATAATTTTCCTTTTTAAACAAAAAGGCCCTCGCTCAAATCAGCCGGGCCTTACCGCGTTGAATTGTCGTACAACTCGTGGCAATCATCTTGGGCAACTCGAGCGCGACGCGTTGATCCCAACTTGTCACCGAGTAAACTTTCGATTCGCCTTCGTGGGGATGTTCGAGTCCGGGCGAAAAACCGGGGGAACGGCAATTTTTTTTTTTTATAACGAACAGGCGGAATTAACTCAGCCGGGCCATCCCGTACAGATCGGTCTCTCCATGATAAATATAATTTAAAAAAACTAAAAACACTCTTTGTTAGGTATCCCACATCAGCCTCTCACGGTCAGCCGGGAGCGTGCTCCGCCTGCAGCGCCGCTGATTTCAGGACGAGCGGAAGTCCGGACCGGTTTCTTCAACTCTGGCGTCCGGTCGGCAGCAAAAGGGCAATTCAGTCGGCGCTGTCCCCAGCACCCTCTCCGCTCTAGCTCCAAGCAAGCGATTCTATAGGTCCACGGCAAATACCGTACACGGCCCGTTCTCCTCTCGCGTGGTGGTCGTTGCGTTCCTGAAGAACAGCGCGTTATGTAAAAATTCGCGTTGTAATAAATCATGTATCATACAGGGGGTAAAGCACGGTCCGCGAGAACGCACGAGATGTGTACGCAGGACGGAGAAAAGACCGGGGCGCGCACATGGGTGTCGTCCAGAAACATCCAGCAGCATCCCAACGCCGAAGTGGCCGCAACGCGACCGCTCATCAGAGGTCGCAAACGGGTTGTACCTGGCCGGGTACGGGTAGCCGGGTATCGGGTAGGGTACGGGTATCGGGTACCCGGTTGCGACCTCTGCCACTCATTCCCACTGGCGCTGCCGATGCAGCTCCGCTCGCTCGCCACGTCGCGTCCAACCCGCGTCGAGAGAACAACGCGCGGCCTCGCAGGAGAACTGTCCGCGCTTGCGGAGAAAAGAACTGACCATTGCGTCCGTGACTACGCAAGTCAGGAAAGGTGCTGGCTAAGGAAATAATAGATCATACCCTGTACCCTAAGCGGCACAGTATACCATTGGTACCTCATTTGCCAGTAAAAAATATGATTGGTTTTTTACCCTTTTATCTGGTAACAAAACTGACACCTTTTTTTGGTGCACCTTTTGGCGTCATCTGGTCCATCCCATGTGAGACTAGGCTCGAAGGAAAGCTGGTGTGGACCAATCAACTTCAAGGACAGTGCATACATTATCAGAGTTATGTTTTTTGTTTGCATCATGACTGCAGGTATTGTGGTCTATGCAAACATGACAAGGTGCCAGTTTTGTTGCCAGATAAAAGGGTAAAAAAAACAATTACCGGCACAATATACTTTGAGATGATGGAGTTGGGGTTCTTGGTTTACAGGCCGACCTTGGGCACAGATCGCGCTTCGGCGAGCGGCGGTATCTTCGCGAGCTCCCGTCGCTCCGTCGACTTTGGCACCACGACCCGAGCTGATCACGTAATCGCAGTAATTCGCGTATCCGTGCCGCTGCAATGCAGCGCGTGCGTACCACGTGACCACGCACGCGCGCTTGAACTTCTTTCGCAACGTACGTAGCCAACCGTACTAATCGGAGGTGTTGGGGGGGGGGACAACACTAAACGCGTTGGGGTTTCACGCCATGCAGGGCTACGTCTCACCCACGGGTAGAGAGAGCGTGCCGCTGGTGGGGTAAGTGGGCCGATGTCGCCATGCGCGTGGATTCCCCACCCTCCCACCCCCCTCGTGAAGTAGCCTGCAGGGGTGCCACGTGGCGAGATGTTAACTACCTCGCTTGGTATACAGGAGGTCGTGGGTTCGATCCCGACCCTGACGCCTGCTGCTGTATATTTGGAGTTTGCGTGTCTCTCTCTCATCATCATCACAGTGGCTAGGAGATGTTAACTACCTCGCCTGGTATACAGGAAGTCGTGGGTTCGATCCCGACTGTATATTTGGAGTTTGTATGTTTCTCCCCGTGGTCGCGTGGATTTTTCTCCAGCTCTTCCGTTTTTTTCCCCTCCACGTTTAGAAACAACGTGCGCTCAGAGTATGTGTCTGCTAAACATTTCCACGTGATGATGATGATGATAAGCCGCTTCGTTGGGCTATCGTTTGTGATAGCCAGAGTCGCTTCTAAGAAAGAGCTTCAGTAGCTCACTTGGACCCTTACCTGGTAAAATAACAAAAAAAAAGTTTTACAGTTTACACGATTGGAACCTCATTTGCCAGTAAAAAAAATATATGATAATTGGTTTTTTTACCCTTCTATCTGGCAACAAAACTGACACCTTTTTTTACAAGGAGTCATGTTTGCATAGACCACAATACCTGCAGTCATAATGCAAACAAAAAACATAACTCTGATAATGTGCACTTTTTACTGGCAAATGAGGTTCCAATGGTGTAAATGCTTACCCCGAGCTCTCATACTCTGATGGTGCATTGTCTTTGAGTTGTGCGCCTTTTGGCGTCATCTGGTCCAACCCATGTGAGACTAGGCTCTAAGGAAAGCTGTCTCGGGTGTGGACCAATCAACTTCAAGGACAGTGCATACATTTTCAGAGTTGTGTTTTTTGTTTGCATTATGGCTGCAGGTATTGTGGTCTTTGCAAACATGACTCCTTGTAAAAAAAAGTGTCAGTTTTGTTGCCAGACAGAAGTGTAAAAAAACAATTATTTAACAGTTTAGTTTAGGTCGGTGGTCATATTTGAGAAGAATTCGAACCGTGACTCTGGTGGACATTGGCCACCGGAGTCTTCTGCTGTTGTTGCGGTTCTAACGACCCCACGGGAATTGTTCACCATCGGGTAAAAATGTTAACCAGGGCAGCCCGCCGGGTTCGAACCACTAACGAATGGTAACACGGGGTCAGCGCGCGTCACTGAGTAGTGAGCGAGTGACCCTGAGGCCTTCCAATAAGCAGCGAGACCCCCCCCCCCCCCCCAAGCGCGCAGCGCCGCGGTTGCCGTGTCGGTGTCGTCCTCGCGGTGAGAACAGGTTCAGGCTCCACTCCGTGCCGTGGTCTTATTTACACGCAGCGAGGTTAGATTTCATTTTTTTTCATCATTATTTTGTTCAGCGCCGTACTCGTACGGACTGCCGTACTTTTTAAAATCATTATTTTGTTCAGCGCCGTACTCGTACGGACTGCCGTACTTTTTAAAATCATTATTTTGTTCAGCGCCGTACTCGTACGGACTGCCGTACTTTTTAAAATCATTATTTTGTTCAGCGCCGTACTCGTTCGGACCGCCCTACTTTTTAAAATCATTATTTTGTTCAGCGCCGTACTCGTTCGGACCGCTCTACTTTTTAAAATCATTATTGTGTTCAGCGCCGTACTCGTTCGGACCGCTCTACTTTTTAAAATCATTATTTTGTTCAGCGCCGTACTCGTTCGGACCGCCCTACTTTTTAAAATCATTATTTTGTTCAGCGCCGTACTCGTTCGGACCGCTCTACTTTTTAAAATCATTATTGTGTTCAGCGCCGTATTCGTACGGACTGCCGAAACTTGTATTTAGTTTGAAGTCCCCGACGCGGAGTGATCTCGCTCGGGGGATGAGACTCCGGTTGGACCGCAGACAGCGGTGGGCGGCGTGCTCGCTGGGGCCGCCCGGGAAAGCGGCCTTTTTTGATGGCTGTCGAGTTGATCGGGCAACAGTGGAAATTCCACATTAACGTGGCCGGGACTGCGGGTGGTGTGGGAGCGGGGGCGGGCGTGAAGCGGTTCGACCCACGAACCCAGGAGATGCGAGTTCCGATTCGTTAACCTGAACTGGTTCCGTGCCTGCTGTGCGTAAACGTCAGCAACTGGGGAGACAAAGGCGGCCGGGCGTGGTACTGGCCACCCCCCTCCCCCCTTTCGTGTACTGTGCTGGCCTTCATAGGTGCCACTCGCTAACAGCAGCCGGTGTGAGCTGCACGGGGGAATTTTGTTTTGTTTTCGCCGTACGATGGATGACGGCTGCTGACTTCCTACCAGCTGTTCCCTGTTTTAGTCGACCTCGGTGGGATCTTGATGATGGGCTGAGCGGGCGCGATTTGAACTCGCGATGTCACGAACTTCGCTGTGTCGGGAAACTCCGGGGCATGAAGAGCGAACGTAAACCTGGAAATGTGATGAACGATCCATAAAAGAGGTTTTGTTTGGGTTAGATCGCGTAAATATGTAAATGTTGTGTCGTTAAACCCGCCACCACCCGACACAGCCAACTAGCAAGGGTTGTCACGTGAACAGAACGTGCCCCGTTCGTCACTAGTACAGCACGCCAGTTGTGTGTTGCAGAGCCAATAAACATTTACAATCTGAGTACAACGTCTCACTAGGAATTGTTTGGCAATAGCCAAAAAAAAAAAACCTCTATTATGGATTATATTGGTCGCGAAAGCCTTCTGCGTGTTAAAGTGATAAACGATGATGGGGGGAGGGTGGGGGGTCGGGGGGGGGTCGGGGGCCACGTGTCCGCCCCACCGTCACGTGGCTGGGACCCGTCGGAAGGTTGCTCCAACGTTGACGCAAAGTTCACCCGTTGGCCCAAAGTTGCGTCAACGTTGGGCCAACGTTCACCCAAAGTAGGCCCAACGTTGACTCAACGTTCGCGCAACGTTCACCCAACGTTGGGCCAACGTTCACCCAACGTTAGCCAAACATTGAGGCAACGTTCACTGAACATTGGGCCAACGTTGGCGCCACGCTGAGTCCATGTTGGCCCAAAGTTGGGTGAACGTTGACGTCAATGTTGATGCCAACATTGACGCAACGTTGCCTCCACGTTGGCGCGCAACGTTGAGGTCCATGCGGGGCCCCCTCTGTGCACTCAGCGCTTCCTGTGGAGACCTTGGGGTGTGCGCTGCGACGGCGTTCAAGTTGCGGCGGAGCTGTTCCCCGTCTACCCGCGGTGACCCCCCCCTCCCGCCGACTCCCAGCGACTTCCTCCACTGATCGGTTTGTCGAATAAAAAAACAAAAAGCCCCAACTCGCAACACTTCACTTGGCATTGCGGGTGACATCCGTGGTGTGCGTGTGCGGTGTCGCAGAGGGGAGTGGAGTGGGATGAGAGGGGAGAGGTAGGAGAGTGAGGTGGGAGGGGAGTAGAGTGAGATGGGAGGGGAGTGAGATGGGAGGGGAGAGGTAGGGGAGTGAGATGGGAGGGGAGAGGTAGGGGAGTGAGATGAGAGGGGAGAGGTAGGGGAGTGAGATGGGAGGGGAGAGGTAGGAGAGTGAGATGAGAGGGGAGAGGGAGGGGAGTGAGATGGGAGGGGAGAGGTAGGGGAGTGAGATGGGAGGGGAGTAGAGTGAGATGGGAGGGGAGAGGTAGGGGAGTGAGATGAGAGGGGAGAGGTAGGGGAGTGAGATGGGAGGGGAGTAGAGTGAGATGGGAGGGGAGAGGTAGGAGAGTGAGATGGGAGGGGAGAGGTAGGGGAGTGAGATGGGAGGGGAGAGGCAGGGGAGTGAGATGAGAGGGGAGAGGTAGGGGAGTGAGAGGGGAGGGGAGAGGTAGGGGAGTGAGATGAGAGGGGAGAGGTAGGAGAGTGAGATGAGAGGGGAGAGGGAGGGGAGTGAGATGGGAGGGGAGAGGCAGGGGAGTGAGATGAGAGGGGAGAGGTAGGGGAGTGAGATGGGAGGGGAGAGGTAGGGGAGTGAGATGAGAGGGGAGAGGTAGGAGAGTGAGATGAGAGGGGAGAGGGAGGGGAGTGAGATGGGAGGGGAGAGGCAGGGGAGTGAGATGAGAGGGGAGAGGTAGGGGAGTGAGATGGGGGGAGAGGTAGGGGAGTGAGATGGGGGGAGAGAGGTAGGGGAGTGAGATGGGGGGAGAGAGGTAGGGGAGTGAGATGGGGGGAGAGAGGTAGGGGAGTGAGATGGGGGGAGAGAGGTAGGGGAGTGAGATGGGGGGAGAGAGGTAGGGGAGTGAGATGGGGGGAGAGAGGTAGGGGAGTGAGATGGGGGGAGTGAGATGGGGGGAGAGAGGTAGGGGAGTGAGATGGGAGGGGGGTAGGGGAGTGAGATGGGGGGAGAGGTAGGGGAGTGAGATGAGAGGGGAGAGGTAGGGGAGTGAGATGAGAGGGGAGAGGTAGGGGAGTGAGATGAGAGGGGAGAGGTAGGGGAGTGAGATGAGAGGGGAGAGGTAGGAGAGTGAGATGGGAGGGGAGAGGTAGGGGAGTGAGATGGGAGGGGAGAGGTAGGGGAGTGAGATGAGAGGGGAGATGTAGGGGAGTGAGATGAGAGGAGAGGTAGGAGAGTGAGATGAGAGGGGAGAGGTAGGGGAGTGAGATGAGAGGGGAGAGGTAGGGGAGTGAGGAGATGAGAGGGGATAGGTAGGAGAGTGAGATGAGAGGGGAGAGGTAGGGGAGTGAGATGAGAGGGGAGAGGTAGGGGAGTGAGGAGATGAGAGGGGATAGGTAGGAGAGTGAGATGAGAGGGGAGAGGTAGGGGAGTGAGATAGGAGGGGAGAGGTGGGAGGGTGCGTGGAGGGGAGTGAGATGAGAGGTAGGAGAGTGGGTGGAGGGGGAGTCGACTGAGATGAGAGTATAGTGAGATGAGTGGGGAGTAGAGTGAGATGGGTAGGAATTTAATAAAGATGTGAAAGCTGACACGCGTAGAGGGCGAGGGGGAGGTGGGTTCGGAGTTTCCTCACCTCTCAACCCACTGCATCCACATTACGAGGCTATTTTCAGCACGGAACACCTGAACACACAGGCAAAGCTCCCACCCATGTAGCCTTCAACAGACTGTAGGGGCAAGTGCTATCAGAGAGTAGCAGCGCCTATGAAGGCCGGCACGGCACACGAGGGGGTGGGTGGCGACAGCACCACGCCCGGCCGCCTTTGTCTCCCCAGTGGCGATATTTACACTCCGCTACACCAGGTACTCATTTGAGGCCGAGTCGACCTAGGGGAGGCCCAGGACCGGTTCGGTGTTGGCCGTGAGCGCAGCGCCCTTAATCGATGCGCCCACCGCATCGCCACGGGAGAGACAAAGGCGGCCGGGCGTGGTGCTTACCACCCCGCCTCGCCCCCCTCGTGTGCCGTGCCGGTCTTAAAAGGTGCTACTCGCTAACAGCACTTGCCCCAACGATCTGTTCAAGGCTATACGGGGGATCTTTGTCTTTGTTGCGTGTGGGGAAGGGGTGGAGGGAGGGGCTGGGGACACCTGGGCTCATGTCACCTAATGGCGACACGAACAGGTGACTAAGCGAAGCTTAAATTACAAACAACGCCGTTGCTGTTGTTAGGTACAATTACATTCACCACCACCATCATCACCATCCACCCATCTTAGTGCTTCTTCAGTGGGCCGGGTCCCAGTGGAGGCCCCGTGAGTAGTCATAATGACCACCACCATCACCACCACCATCACCATCATCATCAACGTCATCATCACCATCATCATCACCATCATCATCACCATCATCAATGTCATCACCATCATCATCAACGTCATCATCATCACCAACAACGTTACCATCACCACCATCACCATCATCAACATCATCATGACCATTATCATCGTCATCACCACCATCATTATCGCCATCATCAACGTCATCATCATCACGTTAACTTGTCCGCTCATCGCTCTCGTAGAGAGAGGGGACGACTCAGAGAGAGAGAGAGAGCAACGACGACTCAGAGAGAGAGAGGGGACGACTCAGAGAAAGGACGACTCAGAGAGATAGAGAGAGGACGACTCAGGGAGAGAGAGGACGACTCAGAGAGAGAGGACGACTCAGAGAGAGAGGGGACGACTCAGAGAGAGAGGACGACTCAGAGAGAGAGAGGACGACTCAGAGAGAGAGAGGACGACTCAGAGAGAAAGGGGACGACTCAGAGAGAGAGGGGACGACTCAGAGAGAGAGGACGACTCAGAGAGAGAGGACGACTCAGAGAGAGAAGACGACTCAGAGAGAGAGGGGACGACTCAGAGAGTGAAAGAGGACGACTGAGAGAGAGGACGACTCAGAGAGAGAGGGGACGACTCAGAGAGTGAAAGAGGACGACTCATAGAGGAGTCGCCGGCGCTACCAACGATTGCCCACCGAGCTCTGCGATCCTCTGTGTATGTTAAATTGTTACCGGCCAGCGAATGACGCAGCGTTCACGTGCTGTGAGCAAAGCGGAGCCACCCCGAGTAACCCCCACGCCTTTGAGCGAGCGAGGGCGAAACACTCGATCCCACACAGGCGGAACACGCCGTGTCGGCTTTCCCGACCAACATTATCCATAAAACAGGTTTTGTTTTGGAGTGGAGGGGAGGGGCGGCGTATCACGTGAATAGAAACGTGTCGTTAAACCCACCAGCACCCGACACGATCTACTCCCAATAAATAAAAACCCTCTCCATGATAGCCGCAAGATGTTTTCCGTGTTCCTGGCAGAGCCGGAGTACACCCACACTCACCCCCACGTGGCCTCGGACAATACCACACCTGGCCACCACAAAGGTAACAAACGTCACCTGCCCCACCCCCCCACCCTCCACCCCCCCGCCCCGCCCCTCCACCCCATCACACCGCCCGACTTTCTTCCTCTCGATTTGAAGCTTTCGTGACTGCAAGGATTGATATTCTTATGTTTTTTCGGTAAAGTCACGTAGGTAAAAAATAAATTAATAAAAGTAAAATAAAAAATTAAAATAAATAAATCACGACGTTTCGGAAGCAACACAAGCCTCCGTCTTCAGGTGGAACCGTCACAGCCACGACAGCTGTATCAAGTAAATGAGAGATCACAAGAAATATATATATACGGAGTGGTAGCTCTTGTAATCTCTCATTTACTTGATACAGCTGTCGTGGCTGTGACGGTTCCACCTGAAGACGGAGGCTTGTGTTGCTTCCGAAACGTCGTGAAATTTTTTTATTTTTTATTGTTTTACTTTACTTTTGTTAATTAAAAATTTTCACCTACGTGACTTTACCGAAAAAACCTACGGATATTTCTTCCTCTCCCCTCCCGGTGGCTCAGGGCAACGTTCGATCTGCCGGTTTAACGTTACCCGGGCGTGTATCATGACCCATCGTTCACCTGTAGGGACAATCCCTGGCTCCCCCTTTGTTCGAAACCGCCTCCACCCCTCCACCCCTATAAGTGGCGACTTAGAGGGGGCGGGTTGGGGGGGTGACCGCCTAAAACCTGCTTGGCTCTAGCCCAAGCAGGAGTGATTATTATAATTATTATAATCATTACCAACAAACGCGGCTCTGCGTTGTGGGCAGTAACACCACTGAGTCTCCCAACAGGACTGCGGGTGCTACATGTGGAAGTGTGGTCAACGCCACTCATTCT